CAATGTTGGTTTTGCTTTGATTTTTTTTTTTTTTCAAGCATGTGGAGCTCTATATAACAGTTCTACAGGAATGTATGTTTGCGCACAGGTATGAATGGAGAATGAACCTTTTTGAAGGCATTGCTTTCAACTTCATCCCAGTTGGAAAAAATAATATGTGAGCCTTATTAACACTGAGTCCTCATGAAGATCATTTGTAAGCTGAGCTGTGGGCTGCCTTTGGACCTTGACCAAGCCCACCTTCTTTGGGCACCACCTCTCTATATGTATCTCTAGGGCTGCAGAGGAAAAGGAACTGCCTGTCCTTCAGAGTTTCAGAGCTTTTTTTTTCACCAATTTTTTCAGACCCATTTTTTTCTTCCTCACCAGTGCAAAAACATCACTGAGAGTAAGTGAACTGTGAATTGACTCCATTGGAAACATGGATAGTAATACTCAAAATGCCATACAGGTCTAGAATGCTGTGTCAGGAAGACATCTGTCTTTTTGGACACCTGTTTAGAGAACTCGCCCTTCACAACCCAGAGAACTAGAGTCTGGAGTTGGGCTCTCAGTAAGACCACTTTAGCCCACATAAAGCTCCTCTGATTCCACTCTGCTGGTGCTGAATAGAGTGCCAATGGCTTACTTTTGCTCCTACACCTCAGGGCCAAAGGTAACAATGGACTGAAGGCTGGTGAAAACACTTCTGCTAGCTTTGGCTTGAATGTCTGTGTTGAACATGCAAGGCCTGTGCTTGGCATACAGGGGTTAGCAGGGACAAAGGTGCAGTGCGCTCTCCACAGCAGCTACACACACAGCCTCGGGACAGCATAAACTAAAGAAAAACAGAGAGCTTGAAGGCTTTCATAGCTGAAGAGACACCAACCTTTCATTGTCATGTTCAGTAATGTGAAAATAAACTACCATTCAAAAGTTTGGGGCCAGTAAGCATTTTTTAAAGAAATACTTCTATTCATTAATGAAATAATTTGAAGCAATAATTAATTATTAAAACTTGTATTTATTTATATGTTTTTTTTATAATTGAGCATTGATAAATTGATCTAAAGTCATGGCAAAGACTTTTACATTGTTAAAATTATTTGTATTAATGCTGTTATTTAGAACTTTCTTTTCATCAAAGAATACTGAAAATTTAATCAGAGTTTCCAACTCTTTATCAACTGTTTTCAACATTGATAATGAAAATAAATGTTTCTTAAGCAGCAAATCAGCATATTAGAATGATTTCTGAAGAATCATGTAACACTGAAGACTGGAGTAATGATGCCGAAAATTCAGCTTTGCCATCACAGGAATAAATTACATATTAAAATAGAAAACAGTGAGTTTAAATTGTAACAATATTTCACAATATTACTGTTTTGCTATATTTCTAATAAAAAATAAATGCAGCCTTGGTGAGCATAAGAGACTTTTTTCAAAAACATAAAAAATTACTTATCCCAAAATTTAAAGCGTGCATATACACTAACAGTCAAAGGTTTTATTACTATTGTTATTACATATGTTTTTTAAAGAAATTAAAAACATATATATATATATATATAGAAATTATTTTCTTTACATCAAAAGATTTGTAAGATCGTGGGGAACATTTCAGTCATCTGTGCTTAAACGTATGACTGGTAGTGTATTTGAAGTATGGGATTTATCTGCCTTTTTTTTTTCTTTTTTTCTTTTTGTAGATTGTATGCACTTAAAAGAAAAGGGTGTTTTTCTTTTTGTTTACAAAGAAATGTATTGTTTTACTTTTTTACCATTTATTGCTTATTTTACAATACTTAGTCCACCAAACAGTGTATCCAAACTAGTACCTTAATCATAGTGAGACTGTATGCTGTAGGCTTTGAATTATGTGTCATGGAGGGGGAAAAGTAACATTGTATAATATTTGGTTTCACTTTTTCTTCTTAAGTGAAGTACTAGCTGTACCAACCACTGATGACGCTGACTGAACAGAACTATGGAAAGTATTCAGAAGGCATTTTATTAAGTAGTTTCATCACCTTCCCATGTGAGAACCATTTGTTGCCACAGTGTTGATTCGTGGCTTGTTGATTTGGGATTGCCCAGAATAAGTAATGTGTACTTAAAGATGTTGTGCTCGGCTCATGTACACACTTGTGTGTGTGTGTGTTGACGATCAGTTTTCTGTGGATTCAGGGGGGTAAGAGGGTTCTCTGTGCATTCCTGTGAGCCAAGCCAGAGAAATTCATCCCAAACAAAGCAGCGCTCTCAGCTCTGTCTGCACAGTTTAGGTTAAAGTCAGTTAATTGGTTTCCTGTCCAGGGTTAAGTCAACACAGTGTTGTGTCTTAAACAGTGTGGAAACCGGAGAGAAGAAACATAGCAGTGTTTGCTCACCCCCTGCGCACAAACCCCTCCAAAATAATAAGTTGGTTCGGCCTGGTTATCGTTCCCATGGAGTTCTAAAATGGTTCTGAAACAAAACACACAATCCTCTACACACCTCACAGTCGACTGATCTTCAAGCAAAATCATTGTTTTGTTTTGGGGGTTTTTTGTTGTTGTTTTTTGCACAGAGGGGTTCTGCTGGCTCTCAAAGCACTACAAATAAATCTCACCAAGTGTTGGCCTTTGCATTGACCCGCTCATTCAACATGATTTACATTACACCAGTTGCAGACATTAATAGTGGGTATGAAGATGAAAGGGCTCATATTGCTAGAGCAACATCTGACTGCTGATTTATGGACCAATATCTAAACATCCCTCAAAGTATGCCTGAGAACTTAAGGATTTTTGAATTTACGTGTTAGACTGTGACACGTTCTTAAACAAGATTTTAGTACTTTAACTTATGCTTTAAAAAAATTAAATAGTTTCATTCTGAATTTAATCCACGGATACTGAAACAAGCTGACATTTAAATTGCTCTCTGAGTAGCAGAGATTTGCTTGAAATCATAATTGTAAGTAAATCCTATTTTATATTTTTATATAAAAAATGTCAAAGCATATGTCACTTGAAAACAAATTATGCTAAACCTTTCCTCAGAAATACAAAATATTGTCATGAAACTTTGTGACGCAGGCTAATAGGTCCTTAACTCTTCATTCAGGCCAATTACCAAGATCAGAGCCCTCTCCCTGGACAGCACGCCAAATACATTTACCAATTTAATCTATCCGACTGATTTGTAAGTGTGAACTTGTGAAATACTTGGTCAGCATTTGCCTCAGCAGTGCAGCACTCTTTCAGAAACCCTCCAACTTCCCCAGCTCCACCTGTATAGATCTGCTACAGGTAATTCATGTACGCTATATTGTACAGCAACAGCATGTCTTGCTTGCTTACAGCAGCGTGTCTGTGAATGCATTGGCAGTAGCAAGTCTTGCTGTGCAGCAACGTAGCAGATCTATTCCGCCAAGACCAAATATATCAACATTGGCATAACCATTACCATGTCAAACACTCCAAGAGTTGTCATGACAGAACTACACTCTTAGACATTTTGTTTACTTCTAACTGGACCAAAGTTTTTTTTTAGTGTGAAGTTCACATGGATGTTCTTGCAAAATCTTATTAACTCTGCAACAAAGTATGACAACCAGAAAGTGTCCAAATATGTGTCTTAATCATTCTTAAAGCTGCCGTCGGCAACATTTTTTTGATCATATTCAGTGAAATCGACACTATAATCTGACAGAACAACATCAATAAAGTGGTTTTAGAAAAAAACCCGAGCTTCTAACTCCACCTGGAGCGTGTTATTTGTTTTGCAAAAATCCACAGCTCCCGGATCATCATGTCCAATCAGCGCAGGGGGGTGTGAGATCTGACTGTCAATCACAGATCGGGCACACGCCACCCCTCGCGCACGTTACAATCACATGCACACGCCTGAAATTCGCGCAGTAACGAAGAGTGATGGCGGAAAATCAAGTAAGCTCATTTAAAGGATAAATGACGTTAGCAATTGCAATCTATCGGTAGATTAGCCAGGACAGCATACCTCCAAATACTCCATGGTGTTCATGGATGCTGATGAGACGGGCGCGTTCACTGAAAATCTGGTGCACACACACTGACGAGCATGAACTCGGTGGGAGGGTATCCGTTGATAGTGGGGGAGGGCCATGAGAGTTGTAAACATTAAAATTTTTCCTAAATCCACTCAATCTGCCAGACTTGCCGACTGCAGCTTTAACCTAAAAAAAAATATTTTTGTTGTTTTCCCTGAAAATTGTTTGTGCTAATTAAATATAAAGATATAATATTTTATAATAATTGCCATATTTTTATATTTTGTTATCCAATGCAAGATATTTATGCATTTTTGTTTACATGTGACTTGTGCGTGTTCCTATTTGTCTTATTTTTGAATAATATATCTATTGAATAATATATCATTTGAAACTTTACTTATTTTTTGTGAGAATTTTTTCCCCTCTCCAATTGCCAATTTGTTCAGTGTTTGGTATCTAATGCAGATACTTTTTTTATGTGTGGCTTAAGTGTCCAAATGCTTAGTTTAAGGACCACATTTTTTAATGTCATAATAAGGTTTTACAGAAATGCACAATGATTCATTCTGAGAAATCTCTTTCCTCCTCTCTGTTACGGTTGGCTGTATGAAGCACACGACTAACTACATTAATAACAAAGACAGTCTTTAATAAAATAAACAAGGAATACTCAGGAGATCGTAGGAGAACTAACAAACTCAGCCATGTTAACATAGACAATACTAGACAAAGAAACACAGGAAATTCATGGATTAAATACACAGGGATAAATAACGTAATTAGGGAGAACAGAAACAGGTGTGTAGAAATTAATTAACAGCCAGGGACACAAACTAGGGAACTAAGGAAAACGGGAACACAGAAGCTAAAAAAAACAGAGCATACAGTACATGTGACACACTCTTCCTACTGATTATTTGAATCTGCATGTGTAGACTTCTGAAGTGAAGCATGATGAAACAGTAAAGATTTCTCATGCTTCATCACTTTGGACTCTGTCTTTCAGACGATGCAGCTGTGACGCAGAACCAGGCTCCGCCAGACGAGGCAGAAACTAACGCAGATCTCACCCTGCAGGACCCCACCGGAGAGCCATGGGGTGAGCAACTGATACACACCCTCGTCACCTTTCACTCAGTGTTACTCAACAGCATGGGCCTTGTTTGTGCCAGCATCCTGAAAGAGCTTAAGAGAGATCATTTCATCACTGATGTGGGCCTATCTAACAGAATATGTTTTGCCATCCAGTCATAACCTCATGCTGTAAATGTTTTATTTCCTCCGCAGTGAAGCCATGCTTCAGTCAGCCCACAAAGATGCGCAGGCGTGTGCTAGAGCAGCCTGTTGGCAGCTCAGTGCGTCTCAAGTGTCTGGCCAGTGGCAATCCAACACCGGTCATTACATGGTGGAAAGACCAGAGCCAGCTGCCCAGCCCTCAGCAGAGTAAACGGCCACAGTGGACGCTGACTCTGAAGAACCTGCAGCCTCAGGACAGTGCCAAATACACCTGCCACGTCTCCAATGCAGCTGGACACATCAATGCCACCTACAAAGTGGATGTAATTGGTGAGTTTGGTAGCCAAAGTAGACTGTTAGCAGCAATGTTATCTATTTGTTAGTAATATATACAGTGACCTTTTTTTATTATTAAATAATAATATATCTTACTTTATAATAATTGCAACTCTGTTTTTGTTATCCAGTGCACAGGTATTAATGGATTTTTGTTACATGTGGCTTATTTAACTAAATATTTGTCTTAAATTTGAATATTATACCTATATTGATTTTTGTGAAATCTTTTTTTCTTGAATTTTTTTTTCAAACAAATATTTTAAATAATTGTACATATAATATAATATTTATTTATTTATATATATATATATATATATATATATATATATTACTAATTTCAACATGTATAAAATATATTTAATGAGTTAATTTTATGAGTTGTGATATCTAAACTGAATTGTTAGTATAGTATGGAATATATTTGTTAAAATATATATATAAATATTTATATGTACATTTTAAATAAAAATATATAAAATGTTTAAATCATTTAAATATATATTTTGCATTATAAAATCTGTATTAATACTTTTTGCCAGTTTTATTGATATGGATAGTTCAGAGTTGACTGAAAATGATTGGTAGAACAGGTACTTATGTTATGCATTAGCACCACAGCTCAATAGCGAACTGCTATCCCATGGTTCTGAACACTGTTTCTGTTCACTATTACACTATACTCAATTGCAAATGTGCAAAGTGATCTAATGGTAGTCCAGACTGAATATTCAAGTTACTTTAAGTTTTGATCGGTTTTCTCTACAGAGCGCACCAACTCCAAACCCATTCTGACTGGTACCCATCCTGTCAACACAACTGTGGAGTTTGGTGGAACAGCCTCGTTCCAATGTAAAGTCCACAGTGACGTGAAGCCTGTAATCCAGTGGCTGAAGCGCGTGGATCAAGGCACAGAGGGTCGCTATAACTCCACGCTGGAGGTTGGAGGCCAGCACTTTGTGGTGCTGCCCACTGGAGACGTGTGGTCCAGACCTGACGGTTCGTACCTCAACAAGCTGGCCATCGTCAAGGCACGCGACGAGGATGCTGGAATGTATATCTGTCTAGGTGCTAATACCATGGGCTACAGCTTCCGCAGTGCCTACCTCACCGTTCTCTCAGGTCAGTTCCTGTAATTCTTTACAGCACTAATATTGCAGTGAATAAGTTAGGGTTGTACAATATTGGGGAAAAAAACTGACTGCAATATTTTGGCTTTCTGTGATATATATTGCGATATTAAAAAAAATACAGAAAGTTTCACCAAATGATTTGATTCGCTGTATTTGGAAAGAATTAATAGTTCTAGAGAGCAGAGAAATTACTTTGTACTCTGAATAATTATTTTAAGTCCGAAATCCTTTTAGGAAAAACTTGAAAAATGTAGGTGTTCATATTCATATTTCAACTTTAAAAAATCTCTTTCCACTTGAATTTTCATAGGCCACATTCACACTGTTTTTGACCAATTCAATATGAATATAGAAGAGTGGATATCAACCTTTTAAACTTCAATTCCCCTCCACTGTCCACTACAAATATTTTAGAGCTTGACATACCTAGAAAGATGTATTCAAACCATATCTTGATTTTTACTTGTTTTAGCTTATTTTTATGCTTGTTTTCATTTTGAGGCCCCCTTGGAAGTTTGGTGAGGCCCCCTAGTGGTCTCCGGCCCCCTGAGAACCACTGCTATAGAATCATTTCTAAAAAAAAAACATTAAGCTTTTATTTTGACGAGTTGCTGGCAAACAAATAAATGCACTGCCAGTTTCAGAGTGAAGCTTGATTTCAAAATGAAGGCACTATGTTTATTTCCACGCGTGCAGCTCGCAACGTCTCGGAATGGCTACAGTAAATGAACCAAGCCTTTATGTGGCTCTGGAACACTGTATCATGAACTACACGTGTGTAAATGACATGCTTCACTCTGACACCAAAAGAGCGTATATTTACTTAATTAAATCGCAGAGAGGCTAGAGAATTTGATTGTGATTGTGATATCAGTTTTTATTTCAATGTGTTGTGCAGCCCTAGAATAAATGCCAGTGTTTGTTTACAGATCCCAAGGTGGAAATAGATGTGATTCCACGCCACATCAGCCCCGGTCTTCCCTGGCCACTTATCATTGGGATCCCAGCTGCTGCCCTGCTCATCGTAGGCACCATCGTGCTCTGGTTGTGTCACAGCCGCAGACGCCAGAGCGCTTTGCCTCCCCGGCCGACGACCTATCGAGACCATCACATTCCTGACAAGGAGCCCAGCATGCAAAGCTCCATCAACCCTGACCTGCCCAACCAGAGACTTATGGCAATGGGGCCCCCAGCTCTCAGCGGTCCACCAAAGATTTACACCAAGGTCTACACAGACATGCACACCCACACACACTCCCATGCACACATGGAGGGAAAAGTCCACCAGCATTTCCATTACCAGTGTTAACAGGTAACCATCAGGTGACCAATGCTGCTGCCTCTGTTCTCATGAGCTAAAGGCCACCACTTGAGGACCACAACCGTACTGTAGGACTGTGCGAGGATAACCCGGACACAAGCGTGGAGGAGTTCTGATGGAGCCCGTTTACCTTGAAATGTCTCAGGTCAACTCAGCACTCAGTAGAGCTGCAGTGGACCTCAATTTTCCTTTAGGTTCTTTGGAGTTCAAAATCCAATAACAGTGAATCAAAGCAACCCGAGCAAGTGCTAACAGTCCAAGAACAATACTTGGACCTTTTTGCTATTCCAAAGCCAAGCATTACACAGGAAGTCGAGTGGAGATGTTTTATTTTTGGAGAAACTGTGATGTGTGTTAAGAATACTGGTGGCCCTGTTTACAATGTGTTCTGAACACTAATGTCAGTCATTTAGCTCAAATGTGGTGTTTGTTTTGTTGTTGTTGTTTGTTTGTTTTTGTTTTGCAACATTATATTGTGAAGAAATTATGCAAGGAAATGTCAGGGACACTAGATGGATGACTAAACGGAAAGGGGGCAAGGCCTTCTATTGTATTACCATTAAAAAGGTACTTTATCTGTATGTATTCAGCTCAACTTTCTGATAATTACAGTATTACGTAACGTACCCGCTCTATGTCAATGCAATCGAGGAAACTATTTTATTTCCAACACATTGTATATCATTGCAATTTATAGATGAGCAGTTAACACGGCGTTATGATAGGCTAATATATTTTCAGATTCAAACGAAGCTATTCAGTTCAGCAGGTCTTTAGAAACCCCTTGTGAGCCAATATACAAATCTCTTAAAAACTATAAATGTGAGAATATGTTTATCTGAGATAGGCTACTGCATGCTGCGAGTTTCTCTTTGGTGCTCATGTAAGTGTATTTTAATATTTTTGTAATAAATAAATAATTTTCTACAGTTTAACCCTCAAAAGCTTGCGTATTTTCGGTGGGAATTGAAAATCGGATGCCACCGCAGTGGCTGTTGACTCTCGGCACCCTCCCTAGCACGGCCTCAGACCACTGTTAGTTCAACGGGCTGAGGAATGCAATGAGAAAATCAAGTTATTCTTTTCGACACCAGGAAAGTAGGGAAATATTCCCAGCAGGATTTGATGGGTATTAATATTCGGATAGGGTTACAAAGAGGGGGCTACAGTTCTTAAGGCTGTTTCTTCTGTGCTCCCTGTGGATGACAAAGGCAAGAAAAACTCTCCACTAACACCAAATACATCAGAGGTGAGCGCTGACTGAGTAATGGACATTTGAACGTTTACTATAAAAAAAGAAAAAGATTTAGACTGTTTAAATGTAGTGAAAAAGTTGCATGGATGGAGGAGCTGTCAGTACCTGCCAAACCAATTGTACGGTTAATATAGACAAGAAAGGTTAAGGTGCCATCTAGAGGCCATCATTGCTATTACCACTCAATTTTCAAGACCCGTTTCAAAACACCATGAAATCAAAATGATTAAAAAATGAAAACATTTTGTTGTTGTTTTATGGAATGTTGCAGTCTTTATTATAAATGAATTATCCGGGCACATCATTATTTTTTACAATTCGTGTGCCCTCGTAATCTTTAATCAAAATAACTTCTCCTTTTGCAATCTCTTCTGTGATGATGTCAACCTGTCACTCACATGAGATCAGAGCAATAGCAAACCACAACCAAAAAGTTATAGAGACCTGTAATGTGTGTGTGTGTGGAGAGAGAGAGGTAGATAGATCAATATATTGCATCTTTTAAAGCTTTTGATCTTGAAAACATGCAACAGGAACAGCTTATGTTTTTTGTGGCTATGTGAATATACACAGCACATACAGGTGAAACTCGAAAAATTTGAATATCGTGCAAAAGTTCATTTATTTCAGTAATTCAACTTAATATATTATATACTCATTACATGCAAAGTGAGATATTTCAAGCCTTTATTTGTTATAATTTGGATGATTGTGGCTTACAGTTTATGTGAAAAGGTTTTCATAAGCTTTTAGCCATAATCATCTAAATGATCATTTTTCGAGTTGCACCTGTATAAAGTGCTATTAAGATGCAGATCTCTATTTTATGGGTGTGTTTGATTTGGCATTTAAAGACATTATCAGTGCTCTCTACAGATTTGAACGCTTATGTTTTTATGGTCATCGCATTTCAGACAGGATTACAGAAAAAGAAAAAAATACTGATAAACGTATGTAATATACAGATACCAACCAATGAGAGTAATAATAACACTAAACAAACAAATGAGAGTAACAAGAACAATAAACAAAAAAATCCAGAGACATAGGAATGAGTTTAGAGCTTTTCATTTATTAAGAGCTGCAAAAGAGCAAACAAATGAGTGGTCTCAAATGGAGCTCCTGCACATCTAAAAATAAAATGCATTTCATGCTTTCAGGTAATGGGTGATCATACAGAACATCCTTTTTGTGGTTTTCATCAGTCCTTTGTCAAAGTGACCATTGAAAACATGCTTTCTTGAACAAGCATGTTGAGCAGTGACATGTTTTTGGTATGATACGTAAAAAATGTATTAGTAGATTTGCATAAACATGTTTATTTCTGTCTGATGCAACTACAGTAATAGTCACATGATGCTATGAAACATTTCATCTAAATTGGAGAGAAAAGGGGAGGGGCTTCAAGTTTTATCTTACATTTGGACACCAACGCGACACATCTTAAATATGAGACCCTTCTACGTTCTTCTACTTTTGAGCTTTTTTTGTAAGTATCATTTTAGAATCTTTTAGACTAGAGCCTAAATAAACCGAGTATTTAGGCCTGCTTATGCAATGAGGTACTTATAAAGATTTACTGGTTTTCAAGATACATTATGATTTTGTGAGGGGGAAAATGTGCATGAGAAATTACTTTCCTGAAAAGCAAATATGTTTCTTTTCAGGCTCTCAGACCAAAGGCAATACATCCAGCGAAGGTAAGGAACTTTGGTAACGCTTCCTTTTACAGTCCTGTTACCCATGTACTTACTATGTACTTATTATAGTAACTATAATTACTGGGTAATAACTAGGTACTAACCCTGAACCCACCCCTAACCCATGTACTTACCTTATATTAGCCAGTACTTTCTAGGTAAGTACACTGTAAGTACACGTAAGTACTGTACTGTAAAAGGAAGCGTTACCGGAACTTTTTAACTCTTAAAATATTTTTTAAAAGATCTATAGTATCTATCTGCAGGTCTGTGTGTCTGTCTATCTTGACAAACATGTGTTTTGTTGTAGATTGTGAGACAGGTGGCTGGGAATGTTTTATTTCATGATAATGTTTTATTGTTTTATGTCAAGACGGTAATATTTTGCATCTATCTTGATGATGACGAATATTACAGTAATTTCCCTGTGGATGTAATAAGGTTATTTTTGATTGTGTGAAACTAACTAATTTGTTCAAAATCTCTCAGGTTATAATGGAGACGTATTGATTCCTGTCATCGTAATCCTCTGTGAAGCCTTGCTGCTTTCTGTTGCTGTAAATGTCTACTTCATTTGCATGACGAGATATCGAGAGCAGTGCCAGAACTTTTACAGTAGGCAACTTTTATTTCATTACCACTGCATTATAAATATCATTAGGCGTTTCATTACATAACATTGTAGCACTAAGTATCATATGCAGTTTTGTCGTCTTCTTTTTATTCAGCAAATTATATTGCTGTCGGGTGTAGTTGTGGCCCGCCAAATCAGCCTGAGCAATCAGATGACCAGGTACAATTTTAACAGATGCAAACATTTTAATTAGAATATATACAATTTTTAGTTTCAAAGATCTTGATGTGATTGATGAATGTGAAATATACAAGGTACATAAACAGTTCTCTAAACTGAAAGTATATCATGCAGCCATATACCACTGGGTTTGATTTCTGTATGTGTTAGCCTATATTAAAGCCTCACACTGCTGAACAGATTTTATGTTTACTTGTAGGTTCAAGCTGACACACAATACTCTGCAATAAGTCATTTCAGTGAGAACAGGGAGCGTGAGGGACGATCAGAAGAGAGCCCCATTGAGTGTGTGTACTCTGATGTGAAACACTCTGGAACAGAGACCTCATCATAAACATATGCTAAAATTGCTGATACATTCTGCTTTTTTTTCTCCTGTTTTTGTTGTTTTGTATTTTAGTTTTAATTTATTTATTTTAATGTGTTGTTAAGCAGGTCATTAAATATTTTAAAGATTATATTGATTGGTTTCCTGAATATTTCTGAATATTTTAAAGTTTGGCAGTTCGCTGGGGAAAAAACTCAAACGTTTTGATTAAAGGGTAGGCAATGTTTTTATAGTGTTGGGTGTAATTAATTACTACGTAATATAGTTACTGTAATTTGATTACAGTAAAGTAAGTAAGGGATTACTCCTAACTTTTCTGTAATTTAATTAGTTACTTCTGATGTAATTGCATTCAATTGCATCTACTGTAGACAACAGTAGGGATTGAGGGTATTTATAAAGTAATTAGTAATAAGTAATACAATACTTTTTAGAGAGAGAAGTTAGTACAGTAATCTAATTACAGTTCAAGATGTAATAGTAGATACTAGCTAGTAATTAATTACTTTTTTAGAGTAACTTTACCCAACACTGTTTTTTTTTTTAAAAACAATTGTTATTGGCATACCGTTTGAAACTCTCTTTATATCTTTTGTGGAAGTCTCAAGACCCCCCACAAAAAAATTCACTCCAAATGATAATAGGATGTCCTACATGCCTGACAATATTATGTATTTCCATACCTCCTCACACCCTGCACGCACAGACATCACGTCATCCGTGTGTTCTGTAAAGCTAGGCCGAGTTGTAGACACAAACCAAAATTCATGAATCAAAACAATGAGCTTGTGCTGCGTTCACACTAGAGGTCTTCACGGGTCCACTTGGATCCGAAAACACGAGGTCCGACCCGAGACCCGAGCGGGTTCTGGTCCAAAACTCAGACGAGTGTCTCGGACACGGGTCGGGTTCGGTAGTGGCCTCGGGTCTCGGGCCTTTTCCAAATGGACCCGAGAAGACCCGAATTCTTTTCAACTATGTTGGGCATTTAACAAATTGCAGTATTTAAAACAACTCTGACACCGTTCTCTCTTTTTCTAAGTGAGAGAGCGAATCCGCGCTTCTAGGGCTCGGTTGCCTCCGGATTTATTTACTTTTTACTAAAAACATTTATTTAGTTGCTCACTCCACATAAACCAAGCCCTCCTTTTGCCTTGAAGAACTAGTGCGCCATCATGTGGATGGATGTTTGACTAAATGCAAGGATTGGAATTGTCGTTAAGCCAGGTCTGTCGATCAATTTAAAAAATACGCAACACTGTCAGAAAAGCATGGAGAGGATAACAGACATTGCGAAAAAGGTGAGGGAAAACGAATGGTGGTTCTAATCATCGTATGGTCCGGTAAATAACATTATGCCAAATGTTATAGGACGTAATGGGTTATGATGTGTGATTGACATTTTAGCACTTCAGCGGGGCGGGCTTACACTTGCGCGTCTATGTCAAGTGCATTTTTGAGAAACGCAGGGCTGCAGGCTGTGCACAATGTAAATGGCGTTTACGTTCGGGAATCGGGTCCAGTCGGGTTCTAAAGGAAATGGCGTCGGGTCGGACTCGGGTCTAATTTTATCGGGTCTGTCTCGGGTCGGGTTTTTCTTTTAAAAATAATTATTTATGCACGTCGGGTTCGGGTAAGTAGGGATTCGAGTCGGTTCAGGTCGGGTACAGTTTTTAGGACCCGAGAAGACCTCAAGTTCACACCATAACTATGATTAAGTGCAACCCGGTTCACGTCCTCAGACTCAGTCACTGTTAGATGCATTTCTGACAATGGCTAAATGAATCTGCAGCAGTCAGGTGGTACAGGTCAATGCTCTAGTTGTTTACGGTCATTATTATTGTAATGTTACGTGCATTGAGACATAAGGAGGTAATTTAATGCCGTCTCTCCTGGCGCTTTGCAGACTGAGCACGTTCATGTGTTTTGGAGGAGGCGTGACTTTGGAGATGCTCTGAAGTGAGGGGGGATCATGTAATTTCAAAGCTACCTTGCTACTGCTAGCCTCTCTGAAATTGCCTACCATACCTTTAAAAGTTGATGCTTTTGAACTTCTGCCAGCACCAAGAGTCAAACGGCTGACGTCTAGTAGATTGTTTATTGTTTAACTATACACTGGTGGTTTACCAATTTTGGGCGGAGAGTGATAGTTATTGGTTGTTAATAAGTGTAGCCTATTAGTAGTGCAGTAGTTTCTATATCCTGGCTAAACTCAAGTTAGTTGTTTCCACATTTCTGTGCGCTATTTTAGGCTATTACATAAGAAGCATGTATAGGCCCACCTCAAAGAAAGTGTTTGCTGTCAGAAGTTCAAAACCTAGCTTATGAATTTTACCTTTGAATCAGGATTTCTAATGTGGTTTAGTCTTTTCTGTGATTTGGCTCTGTCTCTGTGATGTAGGTTTGATTTCACACCATACTTCTGTGAAAATTTCAATTAGTTCAGGCCTTCACAGAGTGTAATGTCAAATGATGATGTTTATATAAATTACCAAACAGTTCTATTTAAAGCGCTTTAAAACTAAAATATCGACTGACTTAAATGCTCCCGTTTTTGTACAGTTGTATCTTGTAGAGGTTGGGAATTAGGCTATCACCGGTTTATTGGTTTGTCATTACCTGCAATCTCAGAGTTCACCTTATGAGGGCAGCAAAACTTACAAAATGAAAAACGATTGGGAAATATATATATACTGTATATATTTTATAAAATGTGCAAAATTAGAAAATAGACAATAATTTAAATTGTAGTCTATTCCAAACAATATGATTATGTGAAATTTTATTTATAATGTTCGTGTATTACACTGGAGATTGGATGGGCAAAATGGTAAAAAGGTATAGGAGATTCAAAAAATGCATTTAACAGTTTCTGCACTTAATAATATTTCCAGAGCATTTTCAGATGAATTATGAAGCTATTTTTCCAGTGAACACTGAAAGATCTGACACACCAGATAAACATCACAACCTGCTGAACCTCCCTGGCTCAGACGCAGCGTCTCATCCACTGGCCTCATACATGAGTGTGTCCTTTGAGGCTGCTGCATGACTCAGGGTTTGCAGGCTTGACCCCAGAGATGCCCTTAACATGACAAATGGTGTTAGCGTTTGCATTACCAGCAGTCAAGACAAAGGGCCTCTCTAATTTTACTTTTTATTTTGCTTTTTATTTATGGACACCCTGTAATTTGTGCAGATATATCAGTTCTAAAAAAAATATATAACAGTATACTTTTTTTTCAAGACCATTCCACATAATGGCCTACAACACATTCAACTTTTTCTTTTTTAACAAAGATTATGTTTTAATATGTAGTGGTATTTAAGCTTTTGTTTCTTCTCAATGAGGTAACAGAGTTTCATTTAATTTTAACTTCATACATTAACTTCAGAAGTCCAAGGTTGAATAGTAAAGAAACCGAATGGCCTTTATATTTAATATGTGTAATGGAAACTTGTGGTTTCCTTTGAACACCTCCATCACACTTTGATCAGTGACCAATGTCTGCAAAGATCTCTCACAGGTAAAACAGGAAGCCCACAGCAGCAAATGAATGTGTTATATCTCATATATGTATGAATGTATTATGTTTTTCCAGATTATCCAGGCGGTTGTGGTGCTTTATCTTAATATGTGTAAGTGTAGTTTTTTACTATTTAAACTATTTCAGTTGTACAGCAGAAGTAGACTGTGAAACTGTACCTCTGCACTGTAAAACATTTTATGATCAATAAGTTATGACATGTTTTTACATTGCTTTAACTGATCAAAATAAGTTTAGCAATTTTCAAATTTTTTATATGTTATACAAGATTCAACTGATTTTTGTAAGTCGGTTCAATGTAATTTAATTTTAAATGACTTAAACATCCAAGTTTGTTGTATTTGAGTGACTTTTTTTTTTCATTATTTTTGGCATTAAATGTATCATCCTTTAACTCTACAGGTGAGATCTTGTTCTTTAGCTGAAATTAAATTATTTCTGATTTTTAAACAAGAACATAAATTGACTGTACTGAACTTGTCAGTTGATTAAAATGAAAATTATTAATATGAATTACTTGATATATTTACTAGGAGTGTAACAATATATTGTGTCACAATATATCACAATACAAAAATGCAACAATATGTATCGTCTATAGTTCACCCAAAATAACTTTCCGTGCAAGGAAATAAATTCAAGTTCTCAGATTTTTAGTGTCAGTACTACATTAATGTTGAATATAATGTATAATAATGCAATGGGGGAATATGTGTGTCCTGATAATGCCAAATGTCTAAAAAGTGGCCTACATTATTTTAAAATATATCTAGTGAGTGGCAGAGTGCAAGCATATTTGTTTAAAATAATTCTGTATTTTCAGCTTCAGAATCATGACTCTTTTTATTCTGGTGTTTTATTCACCATTGTCCTGTGCATTGTGTTATCAGCACAAAATCCAAACCTATTCATTTAAACCCACAATGTAATATCAAATGTATCATTTTAATCAACAGTACATTTTTTGTTAACCCTCTACCATGTCTCGGAATAATATCGTATCGTGATATGTATCGAATCGTGGGATGAGGGTATCGTTACACCCCCAATATTTACATTGAGTGTGCATATAAGAGTGAGTTTTAGTCATAAAATGAATAATAATCATAACTGCACTGTTCTGTTTGTTTTTCAGCTGTAAGTCCAACAGAGAGTTAGATTGCAGTTGTCATCTTTCAGTGCAACATTGTTGGAATATGTGGTGTGGATCATATGTCTCTGCATCAGGATTAGACAAGAAAAGGGTCTGTATTGCAATATTTTGTATTATATATTACATTTGACATATCTTTTCAATACTTTCTTTTACAATCAATCTTTTCTGTACTCCTATAACCTCAACTATTACTTCTGTAAATATAGACCATATTTTGACATATGATATGAAGAGCAAAGAAATAAGAAATAAAACATTATGCATATTAGACATTGTTTGCCACTATCTTCTGTAGAAAGAGTAATGTCATTTGATTACCTTAAACATGATGCTTACAGTAAAAGTACGAGTAATGCTTTCAAGAAATTACCTTTC